CTGTTTTTTAAGGTAAAATGTAGTTCAAATCTAATTTTTATACAGTGTACATAACTCAACTTACTGTCAAACAAGAGGACCTTCATATGACTATGATTGAGTCTGTGGAAATACTGTATGTCAAAAACAGAAACATGTATTTCTGCACTTAAAAATAGGTCAAACAGAATCATTAGTTATGATTTTGCACTAGAAATGATGCTATGAAGAAGAGAGACCCTATTGCTATGTAAACAATATAACGACATTACTTTTAACGTCTGGACAAACATATTGGTAGGTGTGAGGTTTCTCTCTACTGGTTCATAAAGGGATTGCATTCAAGCTTTTACACTTTTACGCTTTAACAGGAAAGGATCAGCACTAGTTACTTTGGTTGAGATGGCAGGAGCTTTTTAGGGTAATTTGTCCAGTAGCTGTAGATTTAATTATGTCATGGCATTGAATTTGCCCTTTTCTGTGCTACTATAGGCAATAAATTGGACAGAAATACTTCAGCAGGCAAAAATGATTAAATTATATACAAAATAACAGAGAAATTATTCAATGTAAAGTAAAAAAGGCAATGAGTTTCATTATTTGAGACACAACTGTTGGTCTGTTCTTTAGTTTTGTTCTTTGGTTTCAACATAAATCTTCTTGTTCTGTACTTTTGTCATGTAAACACATTATGCTATCATGGCACTTTATGGGATTTTATGTCATGAAAAGAATTTTGTGCTTGCTTTGGACTGAAATATTGAGAATCTGTTTAATTGTATTTCTTTCACATCAAAATCCTACATGCCAAAAGCATATTTTGTAATTTTGTGTATATTCTTCATTAATCAAAGATTTTAAATATGAAACGAAACACTATAACACACGGTGTGTGTAAACACTTAGTGCCCCGCACACCTGCTTATCTCACCATTCTGTTTGGCAGAGGTTTACAGTGTTTTATTTTTATTTATTTATTTTATTTTAGAGAGAGTTTAGAGATTAAAAATACAAAACCATAATTGATCTTATACTTATTCTGTCACCTAAACATATTTCTGTGATTGAAAACCTTTTCCTAAAAGTGGACATTTTAGGAATTAAATACAGTCTTAAAACCTCTTGCAGTATACATGAAAAATGGTTTCCTCCATTAGTCTCAGTCCGTCCCCCCGATTCTTTTTTTCTTGAAGGCTAAAAGGGGAACTAAAAACAACGTCACTTTCTTTTGTCCTCTCAGCGTATGAAAAGTAAAAAACTAGAACCAAAAACTAGAACCAATTCATCATAACCTGACATCGACATTTTCAACCGTTCTGCTCTCAGGCTGATCGCTACCAGGACACACTGGGGTTGCAGTGTAATCAGAGCAGTACACACCCCACAATTGATCTTATACTTACTTTAACTGCATATTTAACATGAAGATGCAGTTAAAGTAAACTTCAAAAGAGAAAAAGTTCCTGACTGGATCACCAGTCAGTGAGGAGAAATGGAAGCTGTAGTTGGACCGTTGTTGATGTTTCTTGGAGACTCTCATGGTGAGCTACTACACTTCTTTCATGTGTTCCTTCATTAATACTTAATACTTGTATATGTTAATATGTTTCGAAGCCACAGGAATCAGTACAGTCAATTAGATACATTTCAACGTATGTTGCTTGGTTTAATTTAAATATGAATGCCTCATTCTGAGATCATTTCAAAATCAATATGCAGTTAAAGCAAACACAGCCATGCTGTAGTTTCAGGTTCATATGAACCTGAAGCCATGAAACAGCTATGAAATTCATTGGTTTTATTATTTGGATTTATGATTTTGTAGATTTATTTTGTAAATGTTCAACTAGAAAAAGATCAGCACAGCAGGAATAGTGCTGAACTCTAACTGTTTTAAGTCACAGACCTGTGCAATGCTCTTCTGCACTACAATAAATGCCTGTTTGCATAGTTTGCACTGAAACAGACAAACAATATACACATAAAAAAAAATCTATCTGTTTTATGTAAACATTTGCAAATGCTGCCACAGCCCTTCTGGTATTGACTAACCACTTACATTTGCTATAATTTTGCTTCTGTTAACTTTTTCATTTGCAGGTATGGAAAATTTGTGTGAATGGAGAATGGTACTCAGTGTTATGGAGCTTTGGATGTTCTGCTAATGAACAGCACCTTAGAAAAATCCCAATACAGTTTGTTAAAGAGTTATTTCAAACTACTAAATGTGAAAGATAATAAGGTTATTTCTAATGGCATAGCACATAGGTATCTCTTTTGTCACAGTAATGGAACATTTAGCATCAATAACCTGAGCAGGAATGACACTGGTAAAAATATCCTTCCAACCTTTGATTCAAATATAATATAATATAATATCAGGCGTGTGGGGTTTTTCAAGGTAAATGTTGGGAAATGGAGCCTTTAATAGATGTAAATGCAACATTGTTTTGGTAATCTATATAACATAGTGTACATGATTTCAGATACATATATTTAGCGCATTCCCTGTTCTGAATTAGAAGACTACAAACAATGATAATCTGTATAATGTACCCTTCATGCACCTCTTGATCTTTGAATTCAGATGTTTTCAGTTTCGTTGCCACAGATGTATAAAACAAAGCACCTAGCCATGTAGACTGCCTCTGCTCACTGAATGTATGTTACTGTAACAGGATGCTACCTTTTAAGATATTTCTCCTCCTAGATATTCTATGTTCAACTGTAAGTGATATTATTGCAAAGTGGTAGATTTTAAAAACTACAGAAACACAGCCACCAAGTTACAGACCATGTGAAGTTACACAGCAGGGAAA